ATTATAAACAAGTTTGCTAAACAGTATCAAAATAATCTTCATCATTTGAAGTAAGCAATTACTATAATTCTGACACTGAGAGAGGGAGAGAAAAAACTTCACATTCCAATATAGATAAATGAAGATGTTCAACTCTTCAATTTATGCAGATTGAAATACTGCTGAAAAAAAAATTTTCTTAGTGATAGTTTTCACAGTTCTAAAAGCAAAATGCATCAAATTGAGTAGTTTAAAATATTGCCTGGGATTCAGCACAAGTCTGCGCATGCATGACCGCAGAAGCAATGTGAGTGTGTAATTAATTTTCTGTCTCTAAACTAAACTACTCACCAGCTCATTTTTCATTCTCTAGATACAAAACACAACCAAGAAATATACAGTGAATGTATATATTTTCAAGATATATAAAATCAAAATCTCATACTTTGTAATCTTTACCAAATACTACCATGCTTAATATCTCTACATGAAACATTATAAAGATTCAAAAATTGGTCCAATTTAGAAAGGCATTACGTAATAGTAATTTTAATAAAATTAAGAAAACATTGAAAGATGCCTACAAAGACACTTAAAAAAAGTACTAACTATTGTTATCTTTCTTTCTAGTTGAATATTGTTGACCACTAGGTYTAGCACTATTTAACATTTTCTTTCAGGATGGAAGGAAGCAAAACTGTTGTTAAAGTTTGTGATACCAAGGTTGCAAAGACAGAAATYGCAAAAATGAAAAGCAGGCAATAAAAATCTGTCTCATATTTCAATATACAGAAATATTCCCGCAACTTCTAACAAAACTTCTGGAAAAGCAYTGTAGTCACAAATATTCACAAGCTCTCTTGCACAACACAGTGACAAGTCATGGTATTTAATTTCAAATGTTCAACTTAAACTTGCATTTTAAATTCATTTAGAGCAATTGATTTCAGCAAGTACAAAGAAGTGTTCTGTAGTTGTCCTCTCCTGAGGTATTCCATTTTATTTTTTTCTATAAACATTTTGCCTAGTCAAAGACAGCTGATATGTAAAGCAAACCTAATATTATTTACACTGATAAGCCTATTATAACTSGGAACAGCCTGCTATAATTTGCTCCATTTTGTAGTAGCTCAGTACTTTTCAAACTTTCTTCTTTACTCTATGTTTTCCTTTCCGTGTGTTTAAGGAAAGGTTTAAACTCCATTGGCAAAACAGAAAATGCCAAAACTTTATGTAAACTGTTGCATAAGCACAAAATAKACACTTAAACGTAACTGCAGAAGTACCTTTTAGTGTTTTTAAGTTAATAAACAAGATACTTACCATCATATCTTGTTTTGCTAATTTAACATATAGGTCCACACGCCCTTTATCTTGTGGGCAGATATCTAATCGACCACTGAAAGGGGAAATGGTCACMGTTCTTCCAACAGGCAAGATAGGAAGGCCATTGGTAAGGCCACCATCAACCCATTTCTATGGGAAAACAGAAATRCTTTCAAAGTAACACCAGTACAGTATGATCACAATGTGATACTTTCCCCTTCCTGACCCTGCCTACTCCACTGTCAAGAAAACTTACATGTTRCACTCTAAGAATACAATGAATAAGCTTCAGTATTTGTTGTAAATATCTAGGAACTGACATGTACACACAGATATTTGCATCAATGAGCAGTTGACATAATGTGCAAATTTGTGTGTGAGGTTTTTATCAGGCTACTTACAAGACTTTTTAGTTAATCAAAAAATAAAATGTCTATGGAATTTTTCTCAACGCATAAATGGAAAGACAAGACAGTTAAYATTACATATGAAACATATCAGATAATGTACACTCCTCTAGAACATTATTCTGATTGTGCAACCTCTATTGTCAATCTGTACATGCAGGTACTCTGACTGCAGAAGCTAAAACASACGACTCCTCTCCTCTGCTGTGATTTCTCTTCCAGAGTCTCATGTTTCCTTACATACACTACACAAGACAGCACTAGCTGSAAAGTGCAGGGTAGAGTTGGGAAGGAGCACAACAACCATGACACAAGCAGGAGCAGACCTACATCTGCTGCAGGAGCGGAGAGAAGAATAAGATCTATAGGCCAAATTTCATTCCAATATGAACAGGACAGCTGTGACACCTCTTAATAATGTATTTATACCTTCCTATTTCTTTCTGTGCTTACATGGATAGTCCAAAATTCAACATCAGTCAGCTGGCCAGATGGATTCACTGACATCATACATGAGGTCTGATGACCACATGCATCTTCATTGAACTTTAGATGTATAAAGTCAATTAGCAATTCTACACTCGCTTTATCATCAAGGGAAAGAAATTACTTCTAGCACATGATGTACCTTACCCTAAAGTAGATATTTATATAATATAATTGGGCTGAAAAAGTGCTTTTGTCTTCACTCATTATAAAGGAAACAAACATTAACTATGTAAGATGTAGAMCACTGCAGACACACAAAGCTGTGAAATGCTGCAGAGAAGTAATAAAATTAACTTCAGTGTTTCCTAAGAATTTGACCTCCAGGATATCATCCGTAAGTTACAATAACACAGAACAGCAAAAAGAAATAGCAAATTGTACTAGTACTTTCAGCACCAATCAAGCAAAAGACTGCTTTCCTGCTCTAAGTGATGTTCTATGTGCCAGTTTTACACCAAAAATTCCTGAAAACGCCACAGGAATTTAGTCACGAAAGTTTAAAAAACAAACATCATCAACAACAAGAAACCCCAAAAAACCTCAAAACAAACCAAAAGAACTCCCTCCCAAGAGTTGTATTATTGGCTGCTGGCAAGTAACTAGCTCTCGGTACAGCTACTACTATGCAGGAAGCATTAACTCCAGTTACAGTGTTTGTTCTTCAGCAGCCCCTGAGATTTTAATTTTATACAAATTTCTCCCAGTGCCATATTTAACTTCATGCAACCAAAGACTTCCCCTGTGAACTCCCCATATCTGGTGATACTTTGATTTACCCTTCAACACATGGATACAAAGCAAGGGGGTAGTGGAATCTGTCTGTCTATCTATCTATCCATCCACACGTGTGTGTTTACATGAACAGTTTCCCTCACACCATCCTTGTCTTCACTCTCTCGGATCAGTTTTATGCTCCTGATTTTAAAATATAAGGGTTGTGAGGGTTATAGAGGTTCTAGAGGAATCATTTGTATGAATGGGGAAGTGAGCTATCACGTAGTATTTCTCAGAAAAAAAGAAATAGACATTTTCATGTTTTAAAAATTATTCTTGAATAAGAAATACAAAATATAATATTGAAGTTACTTTCCCTTAAGACCAAATAGTTACATCATAAATGAAGAACACATAAAAAGAAAGTTGGCAGTTAATGAAAAATTACCTGTCCTTTAAATTCCACTGGTTTAGTTCCTGCATATACTGGTATAAAACTACTTGCTAGCAGGACCTACAGAGAAGACGGCAGAAAGAATAGAGAAAAAAAAAAATCAAGAAAAGGCAAAAAAGTAATTTTGAACCAATACATATTTTTATACATGTTTACCAGACAATATACAATATACAATAGTTTTACCTAAATCCATCATCCCAAAATGTCTTCTTGTATCTCAAAATGTGATTAAAATTATTGGATAGAGGTTTTGCTGTTTCTGGAGCAGTCTGCCCAGCCGTACCTTTACCCATGACTTGTATGGTGTGTTGACATGACCTACATCCAATAAAGTAACCTAACAAGCTCCACCCTCCCTGSTTCTGCAGCAGCCACCAACATTCAGACAGTTGTGCTCACGATACAGGYAGAGCTGAAGGCATGCACAGAAACAGATATTAGGAGCTGAACTGAAAGATCAGACTATATGARTGTATTCCAATGAGCAGTTATGTGTCACTTTATTAGTATTCCTAACCATCCTACTGCTACCATAGAAAATGAATAGAACAGAAATGGCTAAATCAATGAAAAAACTATTGAAGTACTAGTAAAATGTACATATTTCCAAGGTCATCCTGATGCTTCTAAACATCTCCAGGTTAGAAGACTGCACTGCAAAAACTCACAAATTAAAAGAATAATAATCTCCATGCTTGWGACCACTGTATACTGTAGCTAGAAATAACAGTGCATAACTTGTGATAAACTTGTTGCATAATTATATTTGCACAATGAAGTCCTACAAATTTTAAGAACTGACTGTCCACATAGAATATAATAGGGTTAAAATTTTAAAAATTATACTTTAAAGGCAAACTCCTAATGTATACTTTGAGTTTTTGTTATTTTTTAAGTGATAATGGCAAAGAATCATGTTTAACATATGAGTATAAATGTAGCTTGTACTACCAACAAATTAAGAACTACTTAATTGTGTCATTTTTTAAGTGATAATGGCAAAGAATCTCCTATTTGCTCTAGGCATCCACAAAGATAGGTAAAGAAGGAATTCCTTATTCTATTTCCTYCTTTATTCTGCTATATCTTATTATGTATTCCACTAAGATACAATCAGTTACTAGCAAGAACATTTGCTTTACATCATCTGAAGTGCTCCTACCATCTTGTATCAGCTTATGCATACAATCCCAATTCAAATTTAAAATGTGGTATTCAAATGAAGAGTAGGGCAGTAAAAGATATACTTTCCAGCTACAGTTAAAATGCAGTTTATATACAGTACTTAGCATTACATTATATCTATTATCCACAAGCACCTGTAGGAATTACCCAATTTTTTTAAAACCTTCTTCACTTTCTGTTGTGATGAAACAKAATATGAATGATATCAGTGAAATTAAGAGAGGCAAAAAAATTTACATTTTGAGACTCACTACTGTGTTCTCATATACTGCAACAATTAGTTACTTGTTACTTTTGAAAACACTTTTCCTATAAGGTAGAACTTGAATAACCAATGGAGAAAAACACRCACAAACACAAAGTTAATCTCAGCAAAATTTGTGAAACTGTAGGATCAAATTCTGCTTCCATTTTCCATGTTATGCTTGTAGCACCACTGGTAGTAGAAGTGGTTACCCGAGTTAAACCAGTGATTTTACTGTACAATTAATAATTGATAACATACTCTTGAAACCTTGAAGAAACTCCAGCATTTTTATTTACAACTGCCATATTCAACTTTATTACCTTAATGAGGTCCTCTCTGGAGGGAAAATTTGAAACCAAGTGATTTTCCCCACTCTTTGTGTTAGTGACTGACACATAGAGTCGGTTCTCAGCTATTTCATGAACATCAGAAGGAAGAATGGACTCTATGCCCTCCCTAGAGGAAAGAAAATACTCTGCATTACTCAMCATCTTTATTCAAAACCCCAAATACATTACGGGTGAGCATCTCACAGTACAGAAGAAATATGTGCACTCTGCATTTGCATTTGAGGAGCTCAGCAACAAAAGAGATATTAAAGAAGTATTAAGATAGGTACCTAAGTGTTTTCATAAAATCATAACCAGGCGTTACAGCACCAAAGTTCAATCTTCTGACTTCCTCTGCAAATCCACAGGCAAAGTGCTTACATTTCTAGAAATGAAAAATAGTAACCATTAAGTATGTTGTAGTGATGGGAAGGATGTTCAGCTGCAGTACCTAAAATATACTAGAGGCTAAAGGTTTAATAAAAGAGTTATAAGATCAGACTCAAATATTTTTCCATATGTGCTTGGTTTGTAGTATGACATGCATAACAAAACGTTGATTCTTTTCTAATGATTAATTTGTAAGAAAAAAAAACAGCCCTAATGAAAAAAACAAACCTATAAACTCTCACAAGGATACCACTTTAACAACCAAGGAAAGTTAAAAGCCCTTTTTCTATGTACTATATATATATTTCTATATACACTATATTTCTACATTTCTATGTACTATATTTTTATATAGGATGCTTCCCTAGACCACGCCATTACAAGAACAACCACTTAATTAAAATCTAAAGCAACCTTTTATTTTAAAGTCTACTTCAGTACTTAAACCAGGCACAAGTACCTTAAGATGCTAATAAGCAATTAAAAAAAAAAACCAAAAACCCACAACACTTTCTTCTCACTAATRCAAAAAACAAGCTACTAACAAAGATGCATATTTAATTAATAAAATAATATGAAAGTATTTAATGAATGGAAAACTATGATAGATGACATAGGGAGAAAAGACACTGCAGAAAACCAGGAAACAGTTTCCTGAATGGAGAACCTTTTACACAAGCATTAATAACTGGAGAAAAAGAGCTTGAAGTGTGACTCATAAGAACTCCAAAGGGACAGTAAAGGAGGTATAAAGGTATAATTTACAGGAGGACAAAGGTATAATTTATTTTTTAGCCATAACATGTTGAAACAATGCATTATGATCCTGAGAGCTTTAGACTCACTATTCAATATTTGTAATCCTTTTTTTATCCTTTCGTGTAGACTTCTCTAATGATTTTAGGGACTTTGGAAAAAACTAAATTCATTCTTATGCAACCTTCTGAAATTGGTACTTTAAATATATTATACCCATATTCACCTATATAACCACAGGAGAAAAAGCGTTTGTGTTTCCTGGATTATTAAGTCCCTGCATAAAGAACAAATAATGTTTCTAGTAACAAAATAAATGACTGAGTGACTAAGGAAAAGAAAGGAAAAAAAAGAGACACGAATGTATCCTACTGAGGAGGAGGAAGGTAAAGGATCTAATGAAAGGAAAACCAGGAAGGAGTTGGGGTGAGGATTAGCATGACATCTGAGCCAGCTGACTGAAGCAGTTTAACTTCCTCACGTCACTTCTATGACAGAGCACTCATCTAAGTGAAAAAGAGAAATGCAGCTCTTTCATCCACTTTCTTCATGTGTCATTTGAATACATGTATCAAAGAAGCTCACTAAAGAGGTTCATATCTCTTAAAGAAACAATCACTGTAAATATCTGTGCTACTTTATTTTGCATTAGTTAGATTTACACCTTTACTCCACCAGCTACTTGCCATTGCCAGCTTGAAGCCAATTAAAATACATAAAAGTAGTCACATGCACTAAGTCCTGAATTTGTTCCACATTCAAACAGTTAGGCTTCTTCTGCAGTCAATCTGCTAGAAAGAGGCACATTCAGATACCTCTTTCTTKAAATGCAGAAGAAATCCACATAATCCTACACAGAAGCACCTCAGAACTAATGTCTCAGTATCTAACATGCTTTAATAAAATTATGGGGAGCTAAGAGTACAGGGAGCTGGATGAATCCAAACCTAGGTGAATGACTGAAAACCACTTTACATATTACATGTGCTAAGAAGGGACTGTACCTAGACTCTCAATTGCTGCTCCCAAGAGACAACTTCTTAGAGCTATGAATYATTTCCAAACTTGAGTGCTGGAAGCTTTTACCAATACGTCTACATTTTGAACAGTGACTGAGGTCATGTTTAGCAATTGTAACTGCTTGATATCAAACATGACCAAAGTAATTTTAAAATAGTTATTTATCTAAGTAAGCCTCCTTAGAATTCTAAAGTCCCATTCATTTTGAAACAGTGAAAAAAATCCAATATATGATGCAAAAAGATTTGAAAACTGATTTAGAACAACAACAGACAGAACAATAAATCTTCAATTTGACATTTTCTYCAAGGTAAGGACAGGTTTCATTAGAGCTTTGAGACTAAGAGATGCAGAAAATCCTAATTATGGCTTGCCTAACACTGACATCTCTGGAGAGAGATGGGAAAAAAAAAGAAAAAAATAATTAACTGAGTAACAGCCGTATTTTCGGATATAAAATATTTCAAGTAAAGATAATAACATAATCATCTGATCTGAAAAGTTAATTCTATTCAGTATAGAACATTGCCTTTACCAAAATTCCATGAGAATTAGAAAAAAAAATATTCCCACTAATAAAAGAGGTCTCAATTTTCCAATTAAACAACCTAACAGAATAAAAAGTACATAAAAAGTGAAAATTACTAGAAAGTTCATGAAACTTTCTTCAGTTTGCAGTAAAATGWCAAATTTTTAAGGAAAAATACATTAGACTCAATGTAATATAGACTTAGCTTCTACAAACAAAAACTAAAAACTGTTGTAATGTTTTTACTTAGAAAGATCTTTGTAAGTTGGACCAGGCTAGGAACAAGTGCTCATACCCAGAGCCAGCAATAAGCAGAAAAATCTCCTTGGGCTAACAAAGGGCTGCCGTGCTCACCACRGAGGAAATTAAAGTCAGAGGTACACATTATACCAGGCAAACTTGAAACTGAACTACCAGTCAGAGGTAGCAGAAAGGGAGTAATGCCTGCACAGAATACAATGAGGTTCTCTCCACAACAGAGTGAAAGTTGCCGAATGCGAAGTCATATAAAGAATGCTCCCRGGGGAGTGGGGTGGGGGAAAGAAGCCAAGGGACAAAGCTACTGCTGAAAGCAACAGCATAGTTAATGCTGCAAGCTGAGTTCATATTCCACCAGAAACAACCAACCAACAAACAGAAAKATCAGTGTCAAAGTGGGGTTTGGCTGGAACTATTATTTGAATCAAATGAAGTGAAATAAGCAAGGCCTAGAGAAAGTTATCAAACGCTTACCGACTGAAACGTAAGTGTAACTTAGACCAAAAATCTACCAGCCTGTTTTTCCTGACAAAAATCAAAAATATTAAAGAAATACTAACATTTTGGCAATGCCTGCTACTCTACATTTATTAAGGCAAACTCACTACAGGCACTTCAGGAGAGCAAGGCAGCCTTAACCTGTGGGGAAAATCATGCAAACAGACACGAAAAACACCCTTAATTCTCTCCTGTAACACTGCAGTCATTGAATATAATCTGGTGTCTTGGCATGACACCATAACCATGGTGGCAAAGGAGTGCCATCTCTGGACATGAAACAGCCCAGACACCAGTCACAACAGAATGGTGAGGGACTTGATCTTATTGGGTGCTGTTAAGRTATGGGCTGCACTGAGTCTAAAGGAGATGCAAAAGTCTTTAACTCTGCTCAATGAAGCCTAGGCAGCAAGAAAATAATCTGAGCAGGTCTGTGGTGTTTATGAAGACACACTCCCATCCACCATTCTCATCTCCTTTCAGTAAAGGTTGAAAAGATGGTGCTATGCACTTGCGTGACAAAGCCTATTTCTAGCCAAGAGAACAATGATTCATTTTGTAATGTACCATCATTAAATAAATATACATATAATTAAATAAATATACATTATGGTATATTAAAGTATACTTGGTTGCCTACAATTCAACATTTACACACATGAGATTTGTAATCACATAGCTTAAAATATAAAGTTCATATAAAACATTTTTATCATAAACATTTTTGCTCATAAACATTTTCAATGAAAACACAGTGCAAGAGTCCTGATCCAAGCAAGTAACAAGAGAAAAGAACAAGAAACAAATATTTTAATAAACTTAATGGAAGATGATTATTTATAAAAAAAAATATGTCCTTTCAAAAATATCATGGCCTATACCTAAGAGTTTATTAATTTACCTCTATATTTTCTGGCACTGCTAACAAGACAACGGCAGCCAGAGATCCCGCAGAAGCTCCCGCAAAAGCTTTCACATTTCTCAGTAACTTCTTACCATGCCTGTGGAAAGCAGCTGCTGCCCCCAAGTGGTAAATGCCCAGAAAGCCACAAGCTGCAAACGACAGGTTGATGTGTCTCATTTGGGCTGTGGAAATAAAGCATCACAATCAGAAAAATTTTGTCTCACAATAAACATCTATTCTTTTGGCACAGAAAAGATAACATACCCTATCTATGTAACAAAGGCAGATTATCTGAGAACAATCAAAGCTTTTGGTTACTAAATACATCAAACGATCATCAGTTAGTTTAGTTAACTCCAAAACTTAAAATAAATCTAAAATGATCGTTAGCACAAATCCCATTTTAAATTAATCAAAAATATATACCCTTACATACAATGTAACTACACATTTTCATCTAATTTGTCAAAGAAATGCAAACAAAGAGTAGCTACTCAAAAGTGATAAAAGAATACCTTTGGAGAACAAACACTGTTAGCCACCTCTATTAAAAAATCAAATTAATTATAAAACTGGTGGCTACTGTCTCATCATGTAGCGACAGGACTGGTAGAGTGGAATCAAATTGAGAGAAAATTTAGATTGGATATTATTAAAAATTCTTTACTGTGAGGATGGTGAGAGTGGAACAGGTTGCCCACAGAAGCTGTGGATGTCCCATCTCTGGAAGTGTTCAAAGCCAGGCTGGATTGAGCTCTGAGCAACCTGGGACAGTGGGAAGTGACAGAGGGCTTGGAACTAGACAATAGTTAAGAAGGCTTGCAACCCAGGGCATTCTATGATTCTATGATCACATTCCCCTTACACAGGCAGAGCCCTTGAATCCATCATAATTCTCTACGAGATGAATTTTTTCTGTCATCTTTGAAACTCATTTGCTTACTAAAATTACTACAGCCAAATTTTTAAGGCAATTACTAGTCTGAAATAGAAAACCACGAAAATTGTTGCTATATTAAAATAAGAAGGAATTAAAAAAACCTCAAAGTAAAACACAAAGCCCTAAATGTATAGAAACACACACACACTGAAGGTGTCTAGGGTAGAATTTAAAATTAACAAAAAACCCCTCACAAATGGGAAACAAATTCAGATTATTAGGCATAGTTAATCAATAAAATAGAACACTGTATATTTTATTAGCTCTTCTATTTCTAAAAATAACTACATAATGAAAGCAAGGTATTCTACAGATTATACTGTACAGATGTAAGAGATACTGTGCACATTATCTTAGTATTGAACTAAAAATAACCCCATACTATACTTGGGTACATGTCAATATGAATGAGAATAAAAGACAGAAACTGTTGTATGAGTCCTGATGAAGAAAGGCAAACATGTACAGCAACATATTTTTGTTAAAGATACCTCTTCATCTCWGAAATGGGAAGAGCAGGAAAGATGAGGGTAAGAAACAGCTTTCAAAACCACTAGATAAGAAGATATTGTAAACCCAACTGCTTCACCCACAGTATGATTAAATGCAGACCTAATGATCTAACCAGGTTTGCTATTTTACTGAGGGAGGGAGGGAGGAMGGGAGGGAAGGAAGGAAGGAGGGAGGGAGTGAAGAAAACTAAAACAGACTGAAGTATGATGTCACAATGTGCTTCCTTTCAGGATAGTCAAACTCTTGGGAGTTTAACCAGCTGCTGCAGCTGTCTCTACACCTTCTACAAATCAGGAGCAAAGGTTCATTTGTACCACAGACCACTTCGACAAGAAGGTGAAACCGGTTAAAGCAACTGCATTCTTACATAGGAATGGAAGAACCAACTCTCATTTCTGTCCAAAATAGATCTCAAGATCAAGACACCAGTAACATGAAAYATTATAAGAAATCAAGATTACTTTTACATAGCTGATTGGTCAATAATATGTAAAGCATGAGTTCACCCGAAGAATTACATCTAAGAGACCTATGAAATGTAACTGAGAAATACAAGTGTACGATAATAAGGTTATGGAAATGACATATATATACACATCTAAACCTTTTACAAGGCTCATACTCTGAAAGGTATCGCTCCCTGCTGGAAAATGATTAAACATTCACAAACAAAAAGAAAAAAAAATCTGAAAACCAGAAAGATTGTCTAAAGTATAACTGCAGTAAAAACTTAGATTAAAATGTTTTGGTTTTTTTTWAAAAAGAAAAATTCCCTATAAATGTGGAAGAAAATCACATTTTCTTATATGAATGAAAAGAATATAAAGAAATGGCTGGTACATTTTTTCTAAAGTGAGAACAGAAAAGGAGGTTATGTGAACTGAAGAAACTATTTGAATCTCAGATCAAAAACTACCGAACACATCTGACTACAGTCAGATAATCATATCTCCTCTTAGCTGCCTTCATCAGGAAACTGTAGTTTCTTAAATGAGCTTTAGTCCTACCTAATTATCAGTTACTGGGAGTAACCGCTATTCTCTTTGAGTGTCTGGATACGTGGCATTCACTCTTTCATGTGAGTTAATTTCTTAACACTTAGATCTCACACATCTCTGCCTCCTTCATTTCACTACCCAAGAGACAGAAATTATTGAATGAGTATTCACATCAGTTACTTGACTGAAAAAAGGTCTCAGTGAGAGACGAACACACAAGAAAAAAACAGCACTACAATTTCAAGTCAAGGAATACTGCTCAAGAATGCTTCTAGTCTCATTCTCTGCGTAGACTGATTGTAAATCCAAAAAGATCAAATTAATAAAACCTAAAAAGAAGGTAATTCTTTTTTAAGTGAACTGGAGAACTTGACCCACTGGATTTGTATGGCATACAATACAACAGTGTTTTGCAGATTCCCCCAGACAACCTCAAATTAAGAATAGCAATTATATAGCTGTGCTATCCAGGCACTACATTTCTTTTAATTAGGACCAATTCCCAGATATACATTATGTATTTCTCACACACTCATGAAATTTAAAAATTCCTCAGTACAAATGTTAATTGGCAGAAGACATTCATGCTCAAACGTACCAGTGGTTACATCTAGCTGTGTGACTGAGAAATGGGGTATGCAAATACATCTAACAACCCTCTAAGTGGGTAAATAATAAGAAAGAAAAATCACTGAATCACAGAATTATTCAGGTGGCCTCTTGCCCAACCATCTCATGCTCAAAACAGGGTCAGATACTAGATCAAATTTAGTTCCTTAGGGATTTAATCCAGTTGTTAACTTGAAAATCTTGTAATGCTTAGCTCCTGTGGGATAGCTAGCCTGTCTGTTGCTGGGTGGAACAGTCAGGTTTTCTTTCATTTGTTTGGAATATTAAAATCAGTAGAGTATTGCAAATATTCATCATTACAGAGAAGAAACAAAATTAACATCTTCAATCAGTACTATGCATCCACCTGCAGGAAAGTGGGTGGAACTGAGGCCTCTTCAATGCATCTGTAACAAAGCACTTAATCTACAGAGAGCACCGATGAACAAAGATGAGACATAAATAAGAATCATAGTTCTATAAGGAACTACTTGCTTCACAGATGCAGTCAAGCAATGTTGTTTCATCTTGCAAAGAAATCCCCAAAGAAGAGGAAARCATAAGAAAGCATTCATTAGATGAATGTCCTGTAAAAGTCAGAAAGGCAAGAAACAGGAAACCAAGACACTCACTTTTAAAAGAATACAAATTTTCCCATTTCTTTTGATTCTTGCATATATGCCATGGCATCACTTGATTTGCAAGTTATAATGGTGTATTTCAGAGAAAGTATGATTCAAAAATGTCTTTTGCTTTGATGATCTGGTAGATCACTGCCCTTTTRATCAAAAAAGAATAGAATGGTTATAAAAACTCCAAAGAGGAAACAGAGGGAAATTTAATTAAGTTTACATTATTACTTTCCATGACAATTTCTTATAGAGTAACAGAAATAGGGCACAGTCATAAGTGGACACAAACCACTTCTTTCAGCAGCCTGAGCAGAGAGCAGAAACTTGCTATCTTAGAAATGGTATAAAATACCTGTTTCACAAGMCTTCAGAACAAATAGAGACTTGAGCACAAATTGTGACTCTATTACGGATATTATAATAATACAAACTTGTCATATTGGCATGTCTTATGAAAACATTTCAATGAACCTTAAAAGATGCACATACTGTAGAGATACGACATAAACAGGACATAGCAAACACTTTTAAACCTCTTTTTTTTTGGAAAATGTTGCCATTTTTCATGATGGGCAAAATTCCAAATATAAAAGATTTCAACTGGCTAAGGGGCTAGAAATGATTCTGTTGTCTACAAGAGAAAAAAACAGAAGCATAAGAAAAGATATGTACAAGAAGAACACTGGGGCTGTTCAATTTCATTATTTCGCAGATAATGCAGAAGCATTCACAAATAAATATAAACCTAAGAGTTCYCTCTAAAAGATTACCAATCTCCGGGTGAAAAATAATCCTCTCTGGTGATTAAAAATGTACTGGGTGGTGGGGCATTTCTGTTTACTCAGCAGTAACTCATCCATTTTGTAATGCAAACCTTCAAGGGAATGCATGTAAGGGGACAAGGCTGTACAGAAGAATTATGGTATGGTACCACACAGCTTTTTCAAGACAGYACTGGCTTTCTGATTGTCATGTGCAAGAAATAGCACAACAGTTTCTCATATGGCTGTTTCCTGAGCAAAGTAATTACAAAAACATTGTAACATCCCAGTGTCTCAACCTGTCATAACTACCTMCCTGTCATCCCCCATGTCAACAAAAGCTGAAAATGCCCAAAGCAACTGAGCACGAACACCTTTACAAACAAAATCTAAATATACATAGAATGCAAATGACCAAGCACCCTGAAGCACAGGAGCTAAAATGTATGATGTGTCACAGCATATTTGAGGGTTAGTTACCAGGAAAGTATGACAAAACACACAAAATCACAGAAAGAACTGTTTAGCTCAGCAGCACTGCTAAAATAAAGGTCATAAGTGTAATGACTAATTTAGCTGAATCAAAAATCACCACTGACACAGAAATGTTTCGGTTTTCACATTTCTAACAGGAAGAAATAGTGCATAACAATTCATAGCCTTCAGTGAATATAAGAGTTAAATGAAGTTGAAGGAAAAAAATAAAATAGAAAGTACATAATCTAACCAGCCATTAAGAACCTTAAGAAATACAYGAGTTTTTGCAAACTGCAGCAATTGCATATAATCTCCATAAAATTAAAAAGAAACACATCACATGATACAAAACTTTCAAATTAAGATCTTAGATCATCTGGATCCTTAAGGCAAGATGTCAACTGAGGGCAGGGAAGGCTGACTTYTTGTGAAGAGGGTGTCAAAAGATTCAATACCTTCTAATGAATTTTGGCGTCCATCACATACTCCACTGGGTCCTTTTTCAACAGCTATTTTGGTTTCCTCTGCACTAGTAGCCATTTTTCTATCAATCACTGATTGTTTATCATTTACCTTGGACACCTGCAATCACAGAGCCAGATACGATTATTAAAAAGAGAAACAACAGTAAATMTAAAATGGCACTACTTAAAAATAAACAGATTAATAAAGTCAATCAAAATAGTTGTAAGAGCCATCTAGATGAATTTCCCAATTGCTTAGCCCCCACTAAACTAGTTCAAACMTCAATGTTCCACTACTTACACTTGCAGCAATTTTTCTTTTAAAGATAAATTCAACTAGATATTGAAAAACACTGCCATCTGGATATGCCAGTGTCTAAAACAGGCTTTAATTTTGTGTCTTTTCCAACTTTTTTTTATGTCTACAGATTTTTTATAACAAAACGTTTATCTTTTTATGCTCCCTTACCAGCTCATTTCCCCTCCACCCTCTATTGCACAACATTGCATCTGTAAGTAATTTTCCAGAATTCTCTGGAAACTGTCACTGTAACTAATCAGTCTGTCAGTTATCATGCACTACTATCTGAAATACAGTTTGAAGAAAATTGACATTTCTCCTCAGCTGAGAACTGTAAGACTCAAAATTTCACTCTGAAACACTGGAAGTCCAGCACTTATTGCTGCCTGCCCCTTTACCTTGATAAACTGAAGGTATCTGAAATTCATAAATAAGGCTGCAAAATCAAAAGCTTAGCTCTGTAGAGTCTAAAATAAATTATTTTATCACTGTATCTATCACTGTATCACTTATATCTATAAAGCATCACAAAAATACTTACCTCTAATTTAACTCTGTTATGTGGCTCTCTTACAGTGCAATAGTTYGGCATTCCAATCTGGCGCTGATGAGTTTTGGGAAACACGCAACTACACAGTTGGCCTTCTTTCAACTGCAGCAACAGTATCTGTGCACTGCAAAGCCTTTTGGCAGTCCACATTTTATTAAAAGTGATCTCTGGRTCCAGACGATGTGGTAACCAAACTTATATTCTCAGAAGCTGTTTTACCATGAAGTTACAAAGGAAGCATCAATAAATAGGTGAGCTACGACACCATAAAAGCACACGGCAGAAACTTTCTTTTAAGAATAACCTATTTAAAAGACATAAGGAAAAAAAAAGAGCGGTTGAAAGGTTGAAAGAGCGGTTGAAAGGTTAGTTGCACATCAAGGCCCTGATACTGTAACAAGGCCCTTCTCAACAAGGCCCTTCTCATACCCAGATCACTTAAAACACAGAGGCATTAACAGCTGATTCATTCGACAATGAAACTGTTTTGTTCAGTATCTCCCCTCTCTCTCCCTCTGGACAGTTCCCATCTGGTACACTGTTGTTCAGCACTGACCATAAAGTCAATTATTCATTTCAGAGAAGAAAGGACTAAAACGCTTCATAAGGCAGAACCCTAAGCGAACAAACTCTCCCTTAACAACGTGAATACACCCCTTCTTCTACCTCAGCTGAAAATTGTGGATGCAATGATCCAGCRACTTCAAACAACCTGCTCGCTAAAACGAAGTGCTGATGTCAAGATCCCAGCAGGAGACACTCCAGCATGCTGCTGGAACACAGCAAATCTTGTAATCGGCTATGCCACAAGGATAGCACAGGAGTTACTCACACAYCCGTGTAAGCCTGGTTTACACCTTGACCATAAAGAAGAACGCATGGAATTGTGCTGGAAAAGCAGGTTCCTGCCTGACCACCACCACAAACAACCCCAGCGTGACCGTGGGCCGGCGAGGTCTCAGCGGAACACTGCCAAATTTCAACTTAATCCTATCCAAATAAGTGAGTTACAAGTTTTCTGTTTCATCTCGTGAGCCAGGAGACCAGGCYTAGGGTGCAATTGGATTTTTCCTACCTCTTTTGCTTAGCAAACAACCAACACAAACAAGCAAAATAGAGACGAAATGGCGAGACAAGTTTTTTTAAAGGTAATAAATACAGAACGCGAAGTGACAGCCGCGGGGCACACAGTAACAAAGTGCAGTCACTGCGCCTTCTAAACCAGGACACTTACAGCAGGCGGACAATTCCTACGTGGGACACGGCCTTTCAGAGGTCAGTCACCTCAGCTCCGTCCCGATGTCCGCTGACTCCCCCCGCCGCAGGCTTCCCGTGGGGCTAACGCGGCCTACGCGAGGCTGGGGCGGCACCGTGCCGGCCTCAGCCCCATGTCCCCGGCAGCGGCGGATTGCCGGCGGGACGGGGAAGTCGCGGGAGGTGACGGGGAGGTCACGGTGGGGGTGGCGGTACCGGCCGGCCCTGCCCCGGCCCCCGCGCCTGCGTAATGCGGGCCCGGCGGTGGTGTGAGCGCGGGGAGGAGCGGCGGCCCCGGGCCCAAAGCCGCTGAGGCGGCATCGCCCCGCCTTCGCCTCCGGGCCGGCGGCGCTGGGCGTGTCGGCGGGACGGTCCGGGCCCCTCCGGCACGGCCCGGGCTCCTCCGGGGACTGTCGCTGCTGTCGTGTGGGCGGGTGTCCGTCCGCACCCCCAGCACCGCCCTTGTGCCGCGCCCCGCSTAAGAGAGGCCTGTTGCTGACAGGGTGGCCTCGGGGCAATAAAGATTAAATTCCAGCCCTGCTTTTTGTTGGTTTGGTTGGTTGGTTTTTGTTTGTTTGTTTGTTTTTTGTTGGTGGTTTTTTTTGGTTTTTTTTTTTTGGGTTTTTTTTGGTTTTTTTTTTTTTTGAGTGTTTGCGTTTCACTAAGGTGAGTCCAGTCACCGTCCTGTCAGGCAAAAGGAAGAGCAAACGGCAGCCAGATTAAAGATGCAGGAGGGAGGGCAAACGTGTCTGTAGGACAGACCTATGGATGTGTGAATCTGGAATCTGACTGGGGTTAAAATTGAACTTATGAAAAAAACAAAAACTGTGTTAGATATCACACGGATTAATCTTCTTCACCCGTGGCATCTTTSCTTTTTTCTACTATTTGATAGATGCTGGGGTGGATTTGGGACAGGMGGTGCAGCTGTGTTGGTGGAACCTTGGCACCCTCTGTTGTCTACAGGGTCTATTCAGAGTTTAGCCATCCTTTCAACTGCTAAAGAGCAATAGTTACAAAACAGAGCCCTGGGACTGTCTTACAGCAATGACACCATCTTGTGGAGTTACTGCCTGCTCATTTCATCACCCTGCACTCCGTCCTGGTGTTTACAGGATGGRCTTTTAGATGAGAATGCTAGATGAGACCTAGTGGTGAAAAAAAAAAAAAAAAGTCTTGGCTTAATTATAGCCAGAGTTCTAATTTTTAGTTGTCAGTACTATCATTAAGACTAACCTGCATCTAAATTAATACTTGGTTGACATCTGTGGCAAGTCAAAAATGTCAGGAGCACCTTTCTTACTCTTTTACATGTGGACTCTTACCCTCTTGTTCCTTCTGTTCTGTATCTGATCTATTAATGAATTGGAAAATCAGTGATGTAGGTGAAGCTTTCTGAGTTGGTGAGAATTAAACCTGTAATCTGGGATAGTAACAAGTGTAAACACAGCAAGTCATTGCCAAGAATAGCAAATGACATGGTGTCTCAAATGTAGCAGCTCTCACGGAATCCCTGGGGTTGCAAGGAACCTCTGGASATCATACTGTCCAACCCCCTTGCCAAGGCAGATTTGCCTGAAACAAGTGACACAGGATTGCATCCTGGTGAGTTTTTAATATCTTGAGAGAGGGAGACTCCAGAACCATCCTGGGCAGCCTGTTCCTGTGCTCTGCCACTCTCGGTGGAAAGAAGTTCTTTCTCAAGTTTAGGTGGAACTTCCTGTATTTTAGTTTATGTCCATAAAAGAGAAACACTCATGTCTCCTTTGGCCTTAAGACTTCTTAAGGTCATTGAGGTGCTGGAGCATGTCCAGAGAAGGGCAGGGAAACTGGTAAGGGATGTGGAGTGCATGCCCTATGAGGCTGAGAGTTGAGGTTGTTTAGCCTGGAGAAAAGGGTGACACTCAGTGCCATAGTCTAGTTGACATTGTGGTGTTCAGTCACAGGTTGGACTCAATGATTTTGGAGGCCTTTTCCAGCCTGGCTGATTCTGTGATTCTTTGGCTTCTCAACTCAGTCCATTCTCTTTCCCACAGCTAGACATAGTCAGACTCTTATCCTTCAAGTATCAAAGCTTATTTCATCTGCTGCATGTTCCTGTTAAGATAAATTTATCCATATTCAACCTTTTTGATAATATGATACAYGTCTTTCATTCTTTGCTCCTTTAGTATTTCTTTGTAATACTCTGACATATTTTTAAGAATAAAGTGCACTAAAGAAAGCTTACATGAGTTACAAAAATGTTTAAATGGATTTACAACATGTTGTTTGTCAGAAYAGGTATTTTGGAGCACCCTTACTGTAAAGGAACACAGCATTTAAAAGTGTATGTGAAATCATTTCCCAAAACAGCTCCAGGAGCAAAAGGAGCTTTTGGTAACAGCCCTTGAGCTTTGTTATAAATTGGTCAGCACAATTAAGTTGGTTAGTGAAGTGACTACTCGACCATGTCTCTGTCAGTAACACTGAATTCTTACTTCAGAAACTTGAGGCCCACGTTGAAAATGAGGAGACATAGAAAGAAAATCATTGAGGGTGAAATTTTACTTGAAATTCCTCTTTTATATACTGACTAAGATGTTATGTGTCAGATTCAGACTGTATATGAAAAATGTCTCCTTTAAATAATAAATTTTAAAGAGGAGGATTCAAGATTCTAGTTATGGATAGATGTCATTTAAGGATTTAATGCAGTTTTTTGCAACATTAATTCAAATTGGCCTATATCCAAATGCTGAGCAATGGATTGAAATATTCAAGAAAATGTAATGATTTATGACATTATATTAAGATTTATGGCAGAAATGTGTAATGCATTTGGCATTGCAAGGAAAAGGATAAACTTCTTCTATAAGATAAACATGTGCAACTGATACTCAAAGCTATGGGTTTGACTGGTGTCTGCTGAAAACGAATTCATTTACTTATTTCCACTGTCACAGTCATCTCAGTGCTAAGTGAGGCTGTCTAGCAGTCCATGCAAGTGTCTGTGCCTGAGAATACCACATCCATTGCCAAAGGTACACAACCATGGCTCAGAATTCTGAGGAAAATGCTAAGTTGCAGGTGGGGGGGGGAAAGAAAGTCTGAGGAGGAGGTTCATGTGAGATGAGAAAGCTGAAATTATGGATGGTGTAAGACAAGGGAAAGCTCCGACATGGGGAAGTATAAAATCATCAAGCAAAAACAGGGTGTCAGAGGGAGGTACTGTGTGACTGTGTGTACTCCAGGGAGCTGTAGGAGCTGTTCTTTCTCCTTCCTGACTTTTGTCTGCCTGGCTAGCAGAGACTGCTTATGTTTTATAGAAGGTGGTGAGCACATTAATTCCTAACATAGTAGTGATCATTTGGGTATGATAACCAATAATTTTTATACATCTAAGCAGGGCATATCCTGATCTCACAATCACTTTGTGCTTGGCTAAGATATCTGAACAGAGACCCAAAGAGGAATGATTACAGGACACAAAATTTGACAGATAAAGCAAATATGGTAATTGTACCCAAAAAAAGTGAACTCAAAAGAAAAAAGGTGCTTCCAGATGAAAAACAGATGGCTTTGGAGGGAGACTGGTGACCTGGCCAAGAAGTCAAGCAGAAACTCAAAAATTCTGTCTAAAAAACAAGCAAACAAAGGAAACCACAAAACAAAACAAAGGTTCAGAATTGCCAAGGGTTTCATTTGGGGAAAATAACAATGAAAAGTCTCCAGGGAATCATAAAACTATATATTAGTTATATATATATAAATCACATATATATAAATTGTATATATATAAATATAAATAATTATAAAACAAATGTAAAGCAGATTTTTGTCGTATGTTAAAAATTGTCTTTAGGAATTTCCTAGTAATCTTATGACCTATTGAACACAACATGGGAATATTTAATGAAATTGGGAACAATCACCGCAAGGGTAGTGGGTTTGCATTTTTGTTGGGTTTTTTTCTCATCTGTTTTTGCTGATTTTATTATAGCTGAAGCCGTGGATCTAATTGTCAATGAATATTTTCTCAGGCAATCTAGAATTGCTCTTGGTTCTTTAATTACCCCCAAATTTTTATTTTGCATCCCAATAATGTATGTTACTTCATATGAAGAGTTATCTTCCGTAAATGTCCATGTAGTTCAATAAAGGCCCAACAATTTTTTTTTTCTCCTTGTTTCTTCTTATATAACTAGACAGTTTGATATTTTCCCTCTCAGTGTTTGACATCTTGGGTGAGATTTGTCAGAGGAATGCAGGCGTGGGATACAGTCTAGACATGAGTATTTGACTTAGTCATTCTAAGCTGCTTCATTGGTCAGTGAAGAGAAATAGGCACTTTTGGAAAGGAATTAATTTCAACATCAAGTACACTTTTGAAATATGTTAGATGCATCATTTTCTAAAAATGCTTATTTTTCTTTATTGACATTGAGGAAAGTTTGGGAGGACCACCTCAGAGGTAAATGATTGAAGTTTTGCAAAAGGAGCCTCTGTCCTGGCAACGGTGTAGACTCACTTGGCTGCCAAATGCTGAGTCTGCCATCGCTTGGAATTCTGAGGTGAGATGAATTACTGTCTGGAAGCCMGAGAGCAAAACCTGAAACCATCCATTTAATAGAAAACTCGGTCAGAAAATGGACACTATAGAAGGGAAATGGCTCAGTGCTTTTAAATCACTCAATCAGCTCACAATTTGTTTCATTTCATTTCCTAACACATCATTTAAAGTGTCTACTTTTGCATTTCATCTTTTTCCTCTTGTCACAGCCTTTGTGGATGCCTGTGTTCAGGTTCACAACTGCCGTGCCCATGAAGAGGTTGCCCAAAAAATGGGGGTGCTCCATCCCTGGGAGCATTCAAGGACAGTTTGGATGGGGCTCTGAGCAAGCTGGTCTAGTGGAAGCTGTTCCTGCCTAGGGCAGAGGGGTTGGAACTAGATGGTCTTGAAGGTCTCTTGCAACCCAAACCATTCTATGATTCTGTGATTTTGTTCCTCTGAAAATCCTTTTGGAGATGTTGGTTTCTTGTTTCTTCTGTTAAATACAAGCTACTGAGGTTCAGCGCAGGAATGAGAACACTGATGTAAACAGTGGAAGGACTTAATCATCAATGTTGATGTGTAGGCTACCATTTCTTTCCAAGTTCCAGTCTGATATGCAAGCAGTTAAGGTTTTTTTTTTTCATCTTTCACAGTCCCTAATAATTCAGCTTCAGGATATTGATAAGTTGCTGCATTTTTGCCTGATTCCCTATGATTTTTTTTCTCCCCACAGTCTTGTACTAACTTTATAAAAATAATTTTTATGTGGCTTGGTAMAGATTTCAAAATCTTTATGCTATTGATGACTTCCCTGTATTGCATTATGCGTTGTATATTCAGTTACCAGGAGTTGATATTTTTCGTCTAGTTTTTTTAATCTTCTTGCCATCTCTTCTCCTTTGAGCTTTTATCTCACCTTTCCATTGTTTTATCTTACCTTCTTTATATTTAGATGTTAAAACTATTAAAAGTGTGTACAGTGGCAATTATTATAATTGTGCTTACATCATATCTTTATCTAAGTATTTCCCATACATCCACTACATTTAGTATGAGATGTTTCTAAAAATAATGCTGTTTGTAACAACATTTGTCTTTCAGTGACTCACTAAGCAAATCATCACTCAGTTCATTTTTTGTAATATGCCTTCTATCAATTTATTAGTCTTTGTTAAGCTTTTGTCCACATATGAACAGTAAAGAAAATTAATCTAAATAMACTAATGGTGTGAATATGAAGTGAATTAGTTAGGCCTCATTAATTCTTTGAAGCTACTGATTCAAAATCAAAAAGGTCATGGCTGAGTTTGTAGATGTAAAAAATGTTTGGATATTAAAATAGAGCTCTCAAGGCAGATTRAAGCATTTTCATCTTTGTTTTCTATTTCTATGCATAAAAAAGTAAAAAGAACAGATAAGGCTTTGATTCATATGCTTAGACAGAAATTTGATCTTTGAAAAAATTAAAAAAAAAAGTAATTGAGGTAAAAGACAGACTCCTTAGTAAGGACATAAATGAATGCTTTGCTTTTTAGGGTGAGATTTTGGGGCTTCCTATGACCTATATTATSTCCTGCATGGGAATAGCTTCCCTTCATGTTTGGATTTCCATTTGGCAGTATGTGATGAGTCCACGCAGCCTCGCAGGGCTCACAAATAGTTTTTAGCAACTGATGGCACTTGTCCACTCTTTCACCATGTAACACACCTCAAGAGCACATAATCTCTTTCTGCTACCTGCAGATACTATTAATTACACTGTCATTGACATTTAACTGAAATGTCTCCTTTTCTGTTAGAGACAGCATGAGACTGCAAGAGGAAAGCTGTTTGTTGATTTACTATGTCAAAATACTTTTTATCTAAAAATAACACATTCACAGGAAATTTTGGCAAGTTCAGCGCAAGACAAGAGAAAAATTACTGAGCARGGTAATAGAAAAGGGCTTTGAGCAACTGAATAAGAGTTTATATAGACAGAARGGAAGAGAAGATAAAATTATCTCATTTCCAATTAATACTTTTATCTGTTTTGGCATRTATGGTATTGGATAATTTTTTTAAATATCAGAATTGTCTGTTCTGAATTCTGCTGTGCTCCTTCAGCTCTATATTTCACTTCATAATTTATGCTTTTATATTTTAAYTTTACTAGCTAATATCATCTCTATCACCATAAAATGAGTAAAGGACTTTATTGTATAGATAATTGTCAGTATCATTAAAAGATATTGAACAACATTTGCATAAGACAAAAACTTGTTAACTGAAGCTTTTTTTACATTACTGTAGTACATAAAGATCAGATTTGATTTGTACTCTATGGTAGAGTGAAGCCATAAATATGATGAGTTTGCATGACCTTTCCTTTCTTAGGAATCTCACACCAGTCTCACAGAATGATTGCACTTTTAATGTAATTATCTGGTTGAATTACTTGAAGTAATTGACATGGTTGATGTTCTAGTAATAGACACGTGCATAAATACAATAAAGTTATGCAAAAAAAAGTAGTTTCAGAAAGGGGCAAAGAAGATTTGACATTTCAGTCCTTCAAAGCAGCCTGCCTGAAGTTCATGTGCTGGATGATTTGTCTATGCCCTACACTTCCCAACCGTGACTCCAAGACAATAACCATTACCAGACTCAAAGCAATTTAGTGTGCTACTGAAGCCCGACAAATAAAAAAAATGTTAAATATCAACATTTTAGTAATGTTTAGTTTAAACTACTTTACATCTAAAAAAATCGAAAATTGAATCTGCCACTGAAATATCTTTGGTGTAGTAATATTTTGTGACAGATTTCACTGAATTTTCCTGAGAGGTAAAGGTGAACTAAGTGATTATTTTGGTAATTCTRTCTACCAGGGGATCAAGATTTTTAGGCAGGGATTTTGAGAAAATGTTATCCAGTTTTCTGCCTGGGTTAGTATATCCTGAAACAGGTGGGAAGCTTCCTGCTGGAAAATATAGGGATGATGAAGATACAACAGTTTTAATCAGAATTGTATGAAAAGGATAAAAGAACGTTCTGCTTCCATAAATTATGTTGCTTTGTTATTGTTTTATAAATATCTCTAGGATGTGAATTTTTGACATAAAAATTCATGTTTAGTCATATTATTTTTTATCTCCCTCATGTGAGTTTGATATGCAAATTCAGTTCAGTAGACATTTAAATAGCTTAGCTCCAACAGAAACTGTGGAAATATACCTATCCTGAAATAGCTAAGTGATGAAAAGATCATCTGAATTGAAATCTGTTCCAGATGGGGCAGATCTGGGTTTAGAATGAAGACTGTTATCTAAACACGAAGTCACTTGGTGGGAGTCCACTCTATACTACCAGAAAAGCCGTCCTGAAATTTTTTTTTAAGGAACTCGTCATTTGAATGATTTTACTCCTGTAGATAAAAAAGAATTGTCTGAAAAATTCTGGTTTCTTTGTATGTCRATGCTATCTGACTATAATTTCTTGCTGTGTATCCTCAGGAGCCTTTGCAATAGCTTGATAGACAATGCATAAGGAATATCACAGTGTTTTCCACTGTAGGGCGGGGACAGGGTCAACACTTCCTAAATCCAGGTTACATGTGGCAGCAAGCAGCAGGAGCTGCCATCGAATGACAAGTTTCTGACTCTGCTTGTTTGGAATCCTAAGCAGGAGCAATGAGCTCTGCCTGTGAGCTAGGACTTTTCACTTCTCAGCCCAGACGTTCTCATACAGGGCTTTTCACTTCTGTAAAGCTGAGGGAAGACCAGAGCACTTTGGGAWCAATAGAATAATTTCAGAGTGCAGGAATTCTTACAGGTGAAATCAAACTAAAAAATATTTCTCTCCTTAAGAGCACTCTTTAAAATGTAGAACTTTCAATGCAATTTACTCGTTTATATAATAGCTTTTAAATGTTTTAGATAGCTCCTGGTAAGTTTTGGCATCAAAGTATATGTATACCCTGACTGATGTTTTGATAGGAGTCAGACCATCTAAAAAGATTGTTTATTTACAATTTCATAGTTGTCTTCCTCTGTATGTCTGGCACATTCACTAGTTTGAGTGGCTTTCATTATGACAGTCCCATGTTCATATAATATGCATGCAACTAGAGGTTTCTGTAGTGAGAGTTGTCAGTGAAACACATTGTAAACACATGTAAATTAACCATGTGGCCATACAGGCTTTGCACTGTGAAAAGGTTAAGTTTTTTCAGCAAAAATCTGTGCCATTCTTGCAACTATCTGGGGAAAAACTTCTTTTTTTACATTWCCTTTTTTACTAAATGTAATCTTAGAACTTTTTTGGCATTTTTGCTACAAAAAGGTTTTGCTTATCGTCCTTTAGAGTATGATTCATTGCATTTTAAATTAAGATTACCAGATTGTATTTGGACAGTTTCTGGATATTTATGCTTTCCAATCTGGTGAATCCAGAAGTAATTAATTCTTGTCTTGTAATCTTGAATTGTACAAAATGAAGAAATTTGCATCTTTTTTTTTTGCTCAGTCTGTGAGTTACAAAAACCCTCAAATGAGATAACCCTCTATCATTTTATCCTGCTTCTGGAATAGTTCAAACGGTGTGATAATGTTCTTGGTATAAGTTTGATTGCAGGTTTGCGTATCTCCATTCTATTTTCCTTTTCTGTGYGATTAACCTCTGCCTGCCTAATTTCTAATGTGTAGAATGGAAAAACTTTTATGACATTGTAAATTTTAAATTTACAGAAAGAAAAACAGAACTGAGATTAAGTTGAAACATTTACTAAGCATCTAAAATAATGCTCCCTTAATATGAAGGTCATGTAAGAGCAGAAATAATGGCAGTTATTTAAATTTTTGATGTCAGAAGTTGATCTGGGTATGATAGAGTGTAAGACTGCAGTAGAAGGAAGGAAAGGTGGTTTACTTGAACCTGGGACCTCAGGACTGTATGATTGGATCTTCTGAAAGGATATAACTGTGTATAACCTTTACTAAAGTTTCAGTTTTCACTGCTTTTCTATTTTGAATAAAAAAA